GAGGAGAAAGAACATTTTTCTCGAGTGCTTGGCTCGGCCGTTCTGCAAGTATGCGTGAATCGCCCGGAAGTCCTAAGCCTCATGCACGAACAAACCCACCCAGCCCGACCCCCCGAGAACCTGGCAGGCATCGAAGCGCAAGCCCCAAATTTAAAACGGATCATAATCGGAACTACTCCTCCACAAGCTCAAGTGACATTGACGACGAGGATGTCAATCCGGAGCATAAGCCGAAGGCGGTCCCCAAGAGTAGGCTTCGACCTCACCAGAGATTTGCTAACTTTCATACTCAGCAAAAGTTTGACTCCAAAACTGGTGAGCATTTCTTAGCCCATGAAGACGGATTCGTATTTCAGCATATAGGAGGGTCTAATATCCAGCTACTAACGGAACGAATAAATAGGGCATGATTCTGACAGCGCGTCTTCGGCTCAAAACAAGTTTGGGGCTTCTAGAACCGAAGATCCATTCGTACAGTAAGGCTATTCATTGTTACCGGATTGGTGATTTACGAGGTATGAAGCTAACTTTGGTCCCTCATCTGTGCAGATCACAATCTCCTAGATCTCGAAACGTTCCGCTAAATGGGACTTACAACAGTAAGAGCCATGACGATCTGCGGAAGCCATTTTCAGCAACTAGTTGGAACACGTTTGACTTCTTTACTCCATCATCTTCGGACAAAGAACAGCCCCAGCCAAAGCAAGGTTCATCTAGTCGCGGGCGTACCGCTACTAGGAACAGCCCCGGTCGAACAAGCCACTCTACGAGTACATCTAATCATGATCCTTCCCGGTCTGGCTCAACGTTTCAGCAACAGCCTACAGCATTTGCTGAGGGCAAGTTTTCCGCGGATGATTGGGCGGATAAGTTCAAGGATCTACTATGGGCCATGCCGAAGGACAACGGACACCAGCAACAGCAACAACAACCTGGGAATGCCCAGCGTGCACGGAGTCCTCGCAAACATACTCGGTCTGCTACAAAAACGCGAGTCGCACCGCAAGCTGCTAGTGTTGCGACTGAGGCCGAGGAAGTAAAGGCAACACTCGATGGAGATCATGATAAGCAAGGTTCGACTCGAGCAGGAGAGGAAGATGGAGAAGCCATGGATCTAGATGATGATGCCCCTGCGAAAGATACGACTGTGGAATCGGATAAAGCAGCCAAAAACAAAGAGGCGCCTCCGTCAAAACGAACGCCGCCTCCAAGTGGTAACGTAGGAAGGGGAGAGGAAACGAAACCTACAAGTCAACACTTTGACCTTAAGAATCTGGGCAAGACAGCTCCATTCACAAGTACTACAGATGGTGGCATCGAAGATCTACAAGACATTCATTCCAGCCTGCCATTCGAATCCCGTGCCAAACCCCAAAGGACAACGGTGCGCGATATCCGCCCCCGGGAGCTTATTTGCCCAAACCCACCTAAACGGCCGCAACCGCCACAACAGGTGCCAATCAGCGCCGGCTCCCAACAGCTGGGACTGCCTCGGAAAGCATGGGACCGATACGTGGCAGAGATGAATACTTACATGCGCGAATGGAATCACTTTAACCGACGCATGCTCCATCATTTCAATGCACGCCAGGAGGCCATTGAGACTGGGATGGCAGCGAATTGGATCAGTGCCGTTGGTGACTCGACGCGCTTAAAGATCAACGGCCAGGGTGAGGACCCTGATGACAAAGGGGGCGAAGGTAACGATAGCGACGACGAGATAGTGCCGGGCGGCAAGGGCGGCTACAGCGCGTATCTACGCGGATTAGATGAAGACGCTAAAGTACTGAAGCACTGGGAAGTCGCACGGGAGATGCATCGGGAGTGCATACTGAAACTGGGGCAGACGCGGGAGTGGATTTTGAATGGAGGGAAAGTCATCTGAAGCATACAAGGCTGGAGTTCGATCTAATTTCTGGGTTTCTTGGTTTTTCTCTTTTGCATAGGATGGGAGTTGGTGCATTGGGATTGTTCCAATTTATGTGACATTAGAGGGGATGAGACATTCGTATCATTGTATTATATATGCATTGTAGGTCCGGCACATTGTGGGCATGTGAGAAGCAGCTCATTTCACGGAAGCGTATACTGTATCCAAGTCCAAGTTGACATACAGACCATCGCTATCTATCAAAGTCGTAATGAATTGAGGTAACTTCGTGACTGTAAAGACCCTAAACCCCGAGCCCTAGGCCGATTGCGGCCCGGGAGCCCCTCCCCTTGCTAACCTAAGGCCGCCACCTGCCGAAGAGGGACCCCACGACCCCGCCATGAGAGGAATTCTGACGGGACGAAACGGTAAGAAATGGTGCGGCCAAGGCCAGCCAAGGGGAGCAACAGGGAAAAATTCGTCGTTGATGACCGAACGGTACGGTACGCGGCAGCTGAGTCACATGGAATAGCGCCCTCCATCGCCATATATTATCTTTGCCTCCGCTGTTCCCCTCCCTTTCTTTTTTCGGCTTTTTGGTCTTTGACGGTCGCGAAGTTTTCGCCGCTGCTCCATTTACTTCTGGTACAGGTTAGATCCTTCTACCTACCAGGTAATAAACCAATTGCATTCGCCTTTACTGCCCGGTCTGTTTTAATTTGACTAAGTCGATTAAACAACCGGTTTATCGGACTCCTGTCAGTCTCCATACGGTGGACCCCGCCGTCTCTCTCCAATACACCACATAGGATGAACCACACGTCTGTGATTACCAATTGAGGACTGGTACTAATGCGGTTCAGCAGTCTTTTTTAGATATCCGATCTTTGCATATTTGCGCAGCCATCATGGGTGTTTCAATCGTTCTGGGTAGCCAGTGGGGTGATGAAGGTGGGGAATCTGCTCTCTCCGGTTTGATTCGGGGATTTCGAGGCATTGACACATACTGATTGCATTCGGATGGTATAGGAAAGGGAAAGATTACGGATATGCTCGCGCAGCAGGCTACGCTGTGCTGTCGTGCCGCTGGCGGTCACAGTAAGTCGGCCTCTTGTGACAACATGCATTGTTCCCTTGATATTGACTCTTCGTTCCAGATGCGGGCCATACCATTGTCATTGGCGACAAGACCTATGATTTTCACATTCTTCCCTCTGGCTTGATCTCCCCTTCGTGTATCAACCTTATCGGTGCTGGTACCGTCGTCCACGTTCCCAGCTTCTTCAAGGAGTTGGCCTCTCTCGAGGAGAAGGGTCTCGAGGGTGCTAGCAAGCGCATTTTCATCTCCGACCGCGCTCATGTCTGCCTTCAGTTGCACTCCGTTGTAGATGGTTTGGAGGAGGCCAAGCTGGGTGGTCGCAAGGTTGGCACCACTGGCAAGGGCATTGGTCCTTGCTACAGTGATAAGGCTTCTCGCAGGGGTATCCGTGTGGGAGAAATCCTGGATGAGGCGGTTTTCGAACGCAAGTTGCTCTCTCTGGAGGCCGGATATCGCGCCCGATTCGGCGATCTGGAATACGACGTCAAGGAGGAGCTCGCGCAATTCAAGGTAAGATACCGCTGGCTTCCCTCCTTCTCCTTTGGGCGTGTGTGGCAGAAGTTGTATTAACGAACCCAGGAATACCGCAAACTCTTGGGACCCTACATTGTCGACCAGTTGGCCTTCCTTCAACAATACAAGGACTCTCCGAACACCCTGGTCGAAGGTGCTAACGCTCTTATGCTCGACTTGGACCACGGCACCTACCCCTATGTTACTTCCTCGTCCACCGGCCTGGGTGGTGCCATGCAAGCGCTGTCTCTGAACCCCACTAGCATCAAATCCGTTATCGGTGTTGTGAAAGCCTACACGACCCGTGTCGGCTCTGGGCCTTTCCCTAGCGAACAGCTCAACGAGGATGGTGACAAGCTGCAGAGTGTCGGCAGGGAGTTCGGTGTCACTACCGGTCGTCGTCGTCGCTGCGGTTGGCTTGACTTGGTCGTCTGCCGCTACTCGCAGGCGATCAACCACTACACTGCTTTGAACCTGACCAAGCTGGACGTTCTGGACGACTTCGACGAGATCAAGGTCGGCGTTGCCTACATCCTGCCCGACGGCACCCGCACCGAGAACACCATCCCTGCCGACGCCGAGGTCCTTGAGAAGGTGAAGGTTGAATACGTTACTCTCCCCGGCTGGAAGAGCAACACTATGGGCGTCAAGAAGTACGAGGATCTCCCTGCCAATGCGCGCGCGTATATCGAGTACATCGAGCGCGAACTGGGTGGCGTTCCTGTGAAATGGATCGGCACCGGACCCGCTCGCGATCATATGATTGCCCGCGAGTAGAGCAACTGGAATTTTGACTACATCTAGAACGGGTTGATCCTTGTTTCTTTCTCAGCTTCCTTTCCCATAAAATATCCTGATGTGTCCTTGAGACGACATCATCCTTGTACTTTTGGTTTCCGCGGTCGACCCGAAAATCTATATCTACGAATGACGATGTCCGACAGGGGTAGATGTGGATTGATCCTACAGATGAATAGATGCGTGATTTTTACCTTTAATGACATACTTTCCTGCTGTATAAAGTTTCTCCTGTTCTGTGCGTATGGTCTTTTCAATCCGTGTGTGATAATCATGGTGAGAACCTGAAGTTGGCGGTGACATGCAAAACTCAATTAGACCGTATTATATTTTGCTTATGGAGCAGAATAAATAAAAATAAATTAAACATAGATCCACCAGAAGACAAGAGGAAAAGAAAAATAAAAAAGAAAAGCGCATTCCAGACAAATCCCACAGTCACGTGAAGGATCGGTCATTGCTTAGTACGCGGTGCATAGACCTCGTCCCGGGTTAGTCAGTTCTTATCCATGCTTATCCAAGACCAACCATACGTCATGCATTCAAGCCCTATACTTCCGAAAAAAAAGACTATAAAGGTCTCCAAACTCCCCAGCTCAATCGCCCACCCCCAAAAAAGAATTAACACCTAATTCATACCATCCAGAGCCGAATCCCAGACAAAAACAATTCAAGCAAAAAAAAGAAAGAACAAGAGAGGGAAGAAATAAAGACAAGACAATGTCCAAACTCAACCACGCAAAGATCATCCTCCGCCGGTCCAGCGAGCGCGGGTACGCCGAGCACGGCGGCTGGTTGAAGACATACCACACGTTCAGCTTCTCCGATTACTTCGACCACCGGTTCCAGCAGTTCGGGTGTCTGCGCGTGCTCAACGAAGACCGCGTGTCAGCACGCAACGGCTTCCCGACGCATCGCCACCGCGATGCGGAGATCTTCAGCTACGTGCTCAGCGGCGAGCTGACGCACCGCGACAGCATGATCCAGAAAGGCAAGGAAGGCGCCCAGGGCAAGGATTTCTATCGCATGAAGCGCGGCGATGTGCAGTTCACCACTGGTGGGAGTGGTTAGTACCCTTGCTTTTTT